TTTTTTTTTTTTTTTTTTTTTTTTGTAGATGGACACAATACAATGCCTTTATTTTTATGTGGTACTGAGAATCCAACCCGGGTCCTGCGCACCACTGAGCCACAATCCCAGCCCTACATTTAAGTTATTGATGTAGGGATGAGGCAAGGCACGAAAGAGAGCAGGAACAGTTTTATTTGGCTGCATGTTCAGAGGGCATAGCTTTTGCTGTAATTAATCAATCCTCTGAACCCCAAGTTCAGATAGTTTCAGAATTTTATACCCAGCGTGTAAGGAGAGGGGCTCAGAAGTTCACAGTCTGTAGAAGTTCACATAAAAGCAATTTTTCTCTCACTGTTCTGGGCAAGTTAACCCCTCAAGGACAGCTCCTGAGGAGGGGAGAGCTTCTTCTCCCCTCTCTTCCCTCCCCCTGCCAGCTGTTACCATGGAGCCCAGTTGTGACTTCTCTTAGAAGGGTAGACCTCTCTGTGAAGCCCAGCTCAAGGCCAGAAGCCTTGTTTACACATTTCTACAAATTACTCTACTGGATATATGTTTGTGAAAAACAAGTAAAGGGGCGTCCAGCACCTGCAGTGCTGATCTCTTCCTGGCCAGTGGCCAAGTAAAAGAGGGCAATTCGAAAATAGGAAGTTAATCTACATTGAACTCTTTTGTAGAGACTCTTTTTTGACAGTCCTAAAATCAGCTACCGTGAAGATTTCTGGAGCCACCCAGTTAAGACTTTTCTGTGGAGAAAGGAGGTGCCAATACAGTGGGAGGAGCTCTGAACTGAGAATAGAGGAGTCTGCTGTGGCTGCCCCTCTGCCCAGACTCCTGCCCCTGGACTTGCAGTTTGAGCTTGCCAGCCAGAAAACTGGCATGAAAGGCAGGTCTTGGCCCTGTCCTCCTGCAGGCTGCTCCCCTCCCACCGCTGCTCTTCCACCGGGCCAGTACCGGGCACTTGCCCTGAGCTTACAAGCACAGCTCAGTCCTGCTGTCTTCCTGCCCTGTCCTCCCCAGGCCTGCCTTAGTCTCTGATTAGCCTACTGCTGCTCCTAAGTATCTGAATTCTGGAAATGGCTCTGTTCAGTGGCAGGACCTCCAGTAAACCCAGGAAAGACCCTCAAACCTCCTCCAGGGTTCCAACTCAGGACCACTGGCCCTTTTGATTCTGTTTTCTTCTCTATTACACTTAGACCCCTTGAGAGTCATTGAAGCATATTGTGAAGTACAAACATTCTTTTCAAATCACACTCAGGCCTGTTCTTGAGGCTGTGCCCTGCTCAGCCACAGGGGAACCGGCCACACAGTCCTGATATGAGTGATGCCCAGCTTGGGCAGTGCATGGCCCTGCACACAGCACATGTGAGCCCACCACTTTCCATGGCTTTGCTGGCTTCTTGATTTGCTTTTCACCACTGTGACCTTGAGCAAATCACATACTATTTCCACATCTCTGTTTCAGCTGAGAAATGAAGATAGATGGCAGTACCCTCTTGATGTGGTTATAGGATCCCCAAGTTTATCCACAGGAAGAGCACACCACCGGCAGAGATGAGCCACTCAACAAATGTTAGCAGCTATGTGATCATTCTCTCCTGTTTCCTCATTTTCTTGAGTCATGGATGAGGTCATGGGTCCCTGGTCAAAATTTCCTTTCCTCTCTGCTCCCTCTGCAAGGTGTGAAAGCAAATGCTGTGGCAGAAAGATGTGAGATTCAGTGGCAAGACCCCTGGGCTCAGACACACTCCTTAGTGTTCTGGTCTCAAAGCCACTGAACGTTCTATGTGTGTGTGTGTGTGTGTGTGTGTGTGTGTGTGTGTGTGCAAGCATGCATGTGCATGATGTTCATATGTGTGGGTGCATGTATGTGCATGTGTGAGCATGTGAGCATGTTTATGGGTACCTGTGTGGGTGCTGTATGAGCATGTGCATGGGTGTGCAGGTGCATGTGTGTGAATATGTGCATGTGTGAAGACATGCAGGTGTGCAAATGTGTGTGCATGTACATATGTGATCATGTACGTGTGTATGCATGTGCATGTGTGAGCATGTGTGTGTACATGTGTGAGCATGATTAAGTGTATGTGTGTGAGCATGTGTATGTGTGAGCATGTGCAGGTGCATGTGTATGCATGTGAGCATGTGCAGGTGTGAGCATGTGCAGGTACATGTGTATGCATGTTCATGGGTGCATGTGTACAAATGTATATGTGTGTACATGTGCATGGGTGTTCATATGTGTGTATGAGAGCATGTGCATGTGTACACTTGTGCAGGTGCATGTGTGTGAGCATGTGCAGGTGTGTGTGCGTGCATGCATGCATGCATGTGGGTGCATGTGTGCACATGTGTATGGGTTCATGTGTGCACATGTTTTGTGTGCATTCATGTGTATGTGTGTTAGCATGTGCATATGTACATATTTGCAGGTGTGTGCAGAAATGCATGTGTGTTCATGTGTATGTGTATGATCATGTGCGTGTGTGTGCATATGCATGCATGCACATGGGTGCATGTGTGCACATGTGTATGGGTTCATGTGTGCACATGTTTTGTGTGCATTCATGTGTATGTGTGTTAGCATGTGCATATGTACATATTTGCAGGTGTGTGCAGAAATGCATGTGTGTTCATGTGTATGTGTATGATCATGTGCGTGTGTGTGCATATGCATGCATGCACATGGGTGCATGTGTGCACATGTGTATGGGTTCATGTGTGCACATGTTTTGTGTGCATTCATGTGTATGTGTGTTAGCATGTGCATATGTACATATTTGCAGGTGTGTGCAGAAATGCATGTGTGTTCATGTGTATGTGTATGATCATGTGCGTGTGTGTGCATATGCATGCATGCACATGGGTGCATGTGTGCACATGTGTACACACATGTGCATGTGTGTTCACGTGAATGTGTGTGAGCATGTGTATGTGTTTGTGTGTGCGTGTGTGTTCTGTAAAGCAGTGTCTCCTTGGTCTTGCTAGGCTCAACAGTGTGCTGCCTGCTGTGCAGGCTCTGGTGGGGCCGGGGTCTGAGGGCAGCCAGGAGAGTCTGAGTCACCGAAGTGTGCTTGCCTGGCCTCAGGGCTGACTCACCCAGCCTTCTCCCTGTTTAGGACTCTTCCCTCAGGTGTTTTATTGGTACCTTCAGCCTCCTTCTCTTCCCCTCTCCACCTGCAGCCTGGGCTGACCCTGCAGCCTTGCTTCTGGTCCACAGGTGAACATCGACCACTTCACCAAGGACCTCACGGTGAAGAACCTGGTGGAGCCTTCCCTGAGCAGCTTTGACTCTGCCCAGAAGAAAGTCCATGCCCTGATGGAGAAGGATTCACTGCCTCGCTTCCTGCGCTCCGAGTTCTATCAGGAGCTGGTCAAGTAGTGGCCTGGTCCTGAGCCATGCCCTCCACCATAGCCGGCCCTTTGCACATCCACCTACCCTCCAAGGCTTTGCTCACGGTGCGTAGCGAGGGCCAAGGGCTGCTCACCCTGGCCCACTGCTTTGGAGGGGCTCTGCCTCTGCTCCATTCTTAATCAAGCTCTGCCTGATTTCTGTTAGCCCCAGTCAGAATCAGATGGTCCTGCCTCAGACATATGTGCAAGACAAGAACAGGGTGTCATCAAGTGTGGCTGAGATAGCAGATGGCCACCGGCACCGGCTGAGGAGTGTGGAAGGGAAGCCGGTTTCCAGGGACCTTTTTTAGTTACCCCTTTTTCATTCCTGAATTTGGTCAGAAGAGGTGGTAAGAGTCTTATTGATGTTTAATTCTAAAGTGAATTTAAAATTCTGCTCTTTCCCTTCAAGCATCTTCATATTTGCTGGATAGTGTTGAGATACAACCACAAATACTGTGTTTGTATAAAACCAATCCAAATATGATTCAGGCTAATTCTGTCCTTATCCCTCCCTCACTTCCTCCCTATAATTCACCAAATTATATTTTAAATCAATGACCTCAGATCAACAATGGGCTGTTTTATAAATGTATTCATGTTCATGGGATGTAGACCAAAATTTTTATTTCCAAATTATTTGAAATCCTTGTGAGGGTACAATTAATTCCAAAAATTCTCTGATCTTATAAAGCTTCTGCTGTTCCCTGGAGTGACTGCCTTCTAGGTGTCAGGAGGGCGTGCACTTCCAAGGGTAGACATGGCCTGCAGTGGTTGCCAGGCAGGCATATCCCTGTCGGTGAAGGCTGACTGTCTGGCAGGCTCATCATCCTTGGAGGGCAGTGTGGTTGCCACTGCAGGCTTCCAAGGAGAGGCAGTTCCAAGGGACCCTGCAGTTTGCAATTTGCAAAGCTACCAGCCCTTCATGACCCCACCCTGTCCTGCCTCCTGCCTGAGTGGCGGCTACCTTGGAGGCTGAGGCTCACTCCCCACCTGCCTCCTGCACAGCTAAGGCATAGGCCACGCTGTATCGTGGACCTGAACTTCTGATTATACATTGCATTATCATAAACGTTGTTAGACTTTTCCTGAACTGTAGTAGGTCTCATTAGAGATGATTCACATAATTTGGTAATAAGCAAAATCAAGCTGAACCATGTATATGAGATCAAGGAGGACACCGGGCTAGTTCACAGAGGGAGGTGATGAGGGGAATCCAGGGGAAGGTGACCCTGTCCAGTCCTACATTCACTCCTGCCCATGTGCATGCTCCTTTCTCATGGGTGCAGCTCCTGCTTGTAATCCCCTAGGAATGTCCGGAGAGCAGCAGCTGTGCTACTGTTCTTCGGGCCAATCCAAGTGTGCTGGCCTTTGTGTTTTTGTGATTTCAAGGGATAATGTGTTTGAATTCTTGACTGGAAGTGGGTTGGAGTGACTGAGTTGGCACCACATCTGCAGGGGGATGGACTTGTGCAGCCCAGGTGAAAGTCCCTGTGTCAGTTGAGGGCAGTCAGGGACCAGGCTGTGTGTGTGAGTCCAGCTGTGCATCTGTGTGGGTTCACAGGAGCTGAGACAGGAATGCCAGGGCATGCTGGCACCCTCTTCCCCAGCACCTGACTGCTCTGCTTTGAGTCAGGGAAATGCCAACACCTGCCTTTCTCATGCAGCTAGAAATGTTGCAACCAAAAAATCTAGGTGACTTGTGTTTTTCTTGAATGCCAAACATTTTTAAGAAAAAAATAATTAAAAATTTAAATGTCTTATCCACATTATTTTAAATACCAAGCATTTGAAAACACCCAGAGATTGAAGTGGACATTACAGATTCCACCCAGAGGTCTGCTGATGGCAGATTGCAGCTGGTGCTTCTCAAGCCAGTGCAGACCTGTGGCAGATGTAGGGGAGGAGGAGGCAAAGCGCAGGAAGGGCCCCAGTGGTACCTTGCTGGGATGTGGCCAGGCATGCTCTGCTTACCTACAGGTAGCTGTACATTCAGAGCTGAATACACAGGTCGTATCAGAAACTCTTCCAGCATACAAGTAGTGCAAGGAACGTAAATATTCCAGCCTGAAATGAGAAACCCAATGTATTAAAACTGCCCTAGAAAAAATTCTGAAAGGTTTGGAAAGTATTTTGAGACTTGGAAAAACAAAACAACACCCCATGTTATTAGTTGTTTCCATGGTAACAGGAAGAAAACACATTCCTTTAGATCTGGGGAACTGAGAAGTTAGAAAAGTGGGAGGAGCTCTCCAGGAGCCAGTGTGCATCCCTTTCTCCCACTCCTCTGCCCTGCCCTGAGTGGATGGCGGGAGCCTGAGAGGCTTTGGCGGTTTCCCTCCCCTGGAGTCGCAGCCCCTGCAGGAGGACTTGGGAAGTAGGGAGGTGTGGAGCAGGCTGTGGTCCCTGGAGATGGATGAGACGGTGCAGTGGCCCAGGTGTTGGTGGCTGTTCTGCCTGGGTTTGGTATAGGGTGGGGCTGGGCAGATGAGGTTTAAGTTAGAGCAGGACAAGGAGGCTGGATTCTAGAGCAGATTAGGAAGCTGAGCATGGTGTTCGGCTACTGCAGCGGGGCTTGCTCCTGTAACCCCCACCCAACAGCTTGTGCACATGGCGCTGCCCTGGCTCCTGGACCTCACTCAGAGCAGCAGTCACCAGGTGAAAGTCAATGTCCTACTTCTGCTCTCCACACCTGTGTACCTTGGAGGGCAGTGTGGTTGCCACTGCAGGCTTCCAAGGAGAGGCAGTTCCAAGGGACCCTGCAGTTTGCAATTTGCAAAGCTACCAGCCCTTCATGACCCCACCCTGTCCTGCCTCCTGCCTGAGTGGCGGCTACCTTGGAGGCTGAGGCTCACTCCCCTTGACTGTACAAATTAGATTCAGCAGATTTCAGATTTTAGCAGAGGGAGAAGAACTTGATGAAGAATTTCTTTTTCATCCTCTCTAAAGCCTTGGGTTTTACTTAGTGATGTGTTCTTGTACACAGTTCATTTCAACAGGGTGGCCTTAATCATTGCCCAGAGAACAAAAGGGGTCCATTTACAATATGCTGAGAAGTAATGAGCACCCCAGGCCTCTCCAAGCCACCTGTCCCATATTGTGATGATTCCAGGTCACCTAAGGGCAGCTGTGTCCTGGGGAAGTGACTTCCTACTGCTGCCCCTGCTCCCTCTAGCAGGCCAAGACCTGTAAGTTGAGCCCACTGGCCAGGAGGCAGCAACCCAGCCTGGTAGCCAGTGCAGCTGCGTCTTACTGTAGAGCAGCAGGGTGGGTCCCTGACTCAGTGGAGCCGGAGGAGACCTCAAGCCAGCACCCCAGCTGTTGGCCCTGGAAAGACAGAGTGGACACCCCCTTCTTTCCCTATTTGCCTTAGGTACCAGAGGGCAGAGTGGAGAGACCAGTTTTCAACACAGATGCATTCAAACCTTGGGCCAGGCAGCCCTGCATGGGCTCAGGGTGCATCCCTGAGCTGTAATAGGGTCTGGCCAGCTGTCCAGTCTCTGCTTCTGCTAGACAAGTGTGTGTTTGTCATTTGCTGGGTCAGGTTCTGCAGGTGACAATTAACATCTGTTTCTTGTGTTGACATGATTTACCAAGGAGGTCCTGTGGCAGACCAAGCCGTCAGTACCTAGTAACCACAGAAAGGCCTTCCTACACTGCCCACCCCAGCTGCCAGGACCAGGGCTCCCTGGAGGAGGTGTCCAGGAGGGGAACTCATGGCACACAGAGATGAGCAGGATAAACACACTGGAGACCCGTGGAGAGTCCCTTGGTGTCATATCTAGCAGGCTCCTCTTATAGAAGAGAAGCTATGAAGCCACCCTCTTCCTGTCCACGCTAGCAAGCCTCTTGCCCATCACTGATCTTACTTGCTTTTCCTCCTGCCTCACTCTGATGGCCTCCTTTCCTCCCTCTACGAGAGGAAACATCCACCATGTCTGCCCAATGTGCCATGGTGTACAGCAGAGTTTTCCCTGGCCACCCCGGGGAGTGCAGGGCTGTAGTGGGCAAAGGGCCAGGGCAGAGATTCGCCCCTGCAGATGAGTGATTCTGATATGCTTGCTAAGAGTCCTCTTCATGTCCCGTGGTGTCAGGACTCGGGAGCTGAAGGCTTCTAGGAAGCTGCAGCTCCCTGGACATTTCCAGCAGCCATGGCCACAAAGGGGAGCAGAAGGGAAGGGTCATCTCCCCACATGTCAGCATTTGTCCACAGCTGGTAACTGTGAGAGAGTCATGTCTGTCTTCTGGTTTTTATATCCAACACTTTACATGCTATGTGATTCATGCTTCTTGATAAATAAAGCACCACATCCATATCTGTGACTATGTGGCATGTGTACATTAAACGGGCATCTCGACCTGYGGGACTCCACAGAGGAGATACAAAGTGCCATGTCCATATTCTCTGATGGCACTTTGTTCTGGCAGGGGTGACAGTAAGTATTGTCACTGCTGTCACCCCTGGGAGAACAGACAGCACAGCACTGATGTGGACCCTGTGATGCTCAGTGAGGGTGACGGCTTCTTGTTCTCCCTGAGCCCGTGAAGGGTCTGAAATCCTGATCTTACAGGTGGTAAGTGACATGCTGAGGTCACAAAGCTAGTGAGACTCAGACGGAGTGGAAGGGGAGAGCTTATGCAGAAAATAAGTGAAAATAGGAGCAGTGATAGGAAGCCACGTGGAAAGAGACAGAGACAGCAAGAAGACAGGTGGACGTGGGAGAGACGGGGACGCGCCTGCCTTGGCCTTGGCAGGCTTCAGGTACTCAGTCCTGCTCCTAGGGGCCCGGCTGCATCTCCTATAGGTGCAACACCCTGAATCACTCCAACACTGCCTCTTCACTGCAGTCATCTTGGTTGGGTTCATTTCTGGGAGTTTCCACCAAGAAACTCCAGTAGGACAAAGATCACGGACACTTCTGACTCCCCCCAAGCAAGAGGTTTTCTCAGGCCACCAGGAAAACACATGTAAAGCAGGGTTCAGAGATCAGATGCCTCCCAGCTCCTGTCTGGACACCAGATCAGAGGAGCCACCTGCGACTCCAAGGTGCTGGTGTTATTGGCCCCAACCTGAGCAGAACCGGCCCTGTCCTGTGGGAGCCCATTCTGCCCCCAGCAGGCAGGTCAGGCAGGCTCTCCCACATTCAGATATCCAAAGCACACCCATCAGGGTCTTGCAAACGATGCCACCCATGGACCTCTTTCAAATGTTGACTTTCCGCTGGGCTCCCAGGGCCTGCACTGGGTTCTGCCGTTCAGTCAGCCATCAGGCAAGTCCCTGGCTACTTCCTGCACTTCCCATTTTCATGCCTCTGGTTTTACCTTGTTAAAACAGTGACACAGATAAAAAATGTCACTGAAAAGTAGCGCTTGCTGGGGCGGTCCTGGCTCATCCTGGCAGACAGGCCTCAGGGTCTCCTCCTAGAGGTCACAATTCCAAGTCACTTGCACCACTGAGGCTGCTGCTGGTGGCAGGTGATGGGGTGAGGGTGCTGCGCTTGAGCCGGCAACGCCCTCCAGTGCCGGTGGGGGTGGGAAGTCACCCATGGGAAGACCAGGGGGCACCTGGATCTGCTCTGCGCCCTGAAGCCCCTGTGCTCCAGCTGAGTCCCAGAAGCCCAGGAAGTGGGAGCCAGGGCCAGTGAGTGCGGTGGCAGCTAAGGCCCTCAACCTAGCAGCTGGAGCCTGCTGAGTTTCTCTAAGGAGACAAGAAGGAGCTCCAGGGAACTCCAGGTCCTGAGACCTGAGGGAGCCAGCAGGCTTCACAGATGTTCCTCGGCCAGGCTGAGGCCATGCCAAGCCGGCAGCAGGGTGGCCCTGGGGCCTGGAGAGGCCAGCCGGCCACTGTCAGCACCTGCAGAACCCCCACCTCCCTGATCATCCTGACCCTCGACCTCCAGGGGAAACCCAGGATCATGGCAGCAATTTCTTCCAAGTCTTTGTCAGGACAGACCATCTTCAGAGGCCATCRAATCCTCCTGTGAGGAGGTTCCCCTCAGACAAAGTCCAGGCCAAGCCATGKCCACATGCCTTCCTGGCCCAGTGAGAGATGTCATTCAGCTGGTGTCAAAGAGCCCTGCACTGCACCAGGAATCTGGCGGAGCAAAACCCTGCTCCTGACAGACAGCCCCTGCACCACTCCACCCTGCTCCTCACAGACAGCCCCTGCCCCTCCACCCCTGCTCCTCACAGACAGCC